AGTACTTCACCGACTTAACCGCTGCCAAATAAATGAGCGCAATAAAGCCTCACAACGAGTGCATAATTTATTATCACATGCTGACATGCTGCCCTTGAACTGACTTTAAAACACTCGATCGTACCCTACTATAGAAATACCTAAAGTCTCGGACATCATACGAGGTAACACAAACCTGTGTCTAAAGCAATGTAACATTACATAAACGACCACGAGATACAAGCGTAAGGAAAACATTATGCATAAAAATTAACAGCTACGTACAACATAATCATAATAATGAGACGTAGCGAGCTCCGAGCGCTACGAGACTTCGTAGCATATCAATGAGGCGAGCCCATCGCTTATCGTCTCTCTAACTACATTGTTTTTGTTTCATTTGTTTGTTCAGCGACCTACTGAAAAACATCGGGAGCGACTCGAGTCGCTGGAACTAGAGTAATTAGTTGGCAACTATTACTTGGTAGACGGGCGCGAGACGTTATTACGAGACAAAGTTCGCCACTTAGAAAAGTTGTGGAACACCACGATTGTAAGAAAACTTTCGTCCTACGACCGCAAGTTGACGGCGGAAAAAGTTCCAATTTGGAGGCGGCGATTTTTGCGCTGGGAAAGTTGATGCGTTAAAATTAATAATTAATCGAGTTAATATATTGCGGGAGATAGGTGGGCAGGCGAGCGCGGCTCGAATGTCGGAGGAATAGGCGAGGTGGCAAGATCGCGGGGGGCGGCGGCGCCGGGGGGGTGACGAACGGACACAAAGGAGAGGAGCGGCCGGCCGCGGACGCGAGCCGCGGGCCGGGCGGCCTTATCACCGGCGGCCGCACACAGTCGCTACGCGCGCGCCGCGTCGCACGTCTCGCGATCCGCGCCTCTGCTCCCGCAATCCACTCAGTGACTTGTGACCAACTGATCAGTGAAACTGGAACTTGTGTGTACACGTGCCGCGCACTGCGCATCCGAGCTATATTTTTATTGGTCGGAATCCTCCATTCACGAGCCGTTTATAATATCGCAATAACGGCTGGCTTGTCAAAAATTGTAAACACAGCACACGTGCCCCCGCCGGCTCGCAAGTAAGTTGCAAACTTTTTACATATCTCGCTTATCAATGTTGCTAGGCTAACGCAGGGATCAACTGAGTGCACCAACTCTTGTTCTTTTTGTGAGTGAAAAGTGTTTAGAAGATTTCTTAGAGATCTTGTTGTTTCTGTAATCGGAATTAGGGTAGAAAAACTTTCATAGCAATATCAGTTTTGTTTTCGGTCTGTTTAAAATAAATTCATAAGTTCTTGCTGAAAGCAATTTAGTAGCTTACGTGTCTCGTCCTCATTCCAAAATTTTTTAAAACTAAATAAGTACCTACTAACTTAGTAGAAACTGTAAAAAGAAATAAAGTTCGGAAGGTACCTACATCTTCGCCGATTAAAAACATCCGCGAGTTAAAAAGTAAAGTAAAAACATAACTTGCCTATCTTGAATCGTCAACAAACGATCAGGCTTTTCCATTTTTCACGAAAGTGCATAAACTAGGTACAACTTTTTTACTACAACTATACTCTAGTTTAGTTAATTAGTTACACACCAAATTACCCTCGTCAATTATTGGCGCCAAAAGGAATTAGAAGTTACGCAGACAGTTGTAATTAAATATCCAAAATTATTTGAATTATACAAAGCTGCCTTTGACTTTGTAGATATAACAGGGATATAAGTTTCAAAATGTATGTTCTACCCAACTTGCACTCATTTTCCATTTGTGCACTGTTTTTCATTCGTCTTAATATTTAATAAAGACAAGCCATAAATGATCGTACAATAAAATATTATACTGGTGCACTTTTAAACTATTACCTGCTTTACCGTAGGTATCCGTAAAAATGACTGTATAGTTTGAATAATTATTCTATTTAATTGATAATTTTCACTTTATCAAAATCATTGATTTTAATATTCCAAATTTTATTTACAAAATCGATACTAAGTACCCCATTTTCTCGTTCACTTTAAACAATAATAATATTGTGTAAAAGTGCTTTATTATTATTATAACTACACATTTCGTGTTACCACTAGAAAAACCGCGTTTTCACAACATTGATGCGTACAACTGTTGAGTGTCCAATGTTCAGATGACATAAACACTGCGATCAACTTATTTTCCATTTCAATACAAATAAACAGGCAATGTAAACGTTTGGTCGCCCAGCGCCATCTCTCGGCGGCCCGTGGAAGCGCGCTAACCGCTCGCAAGGTCACCGTGTCAACGACCCGACAACTTTTGCCGCCTACTGTTGTCGTAGGTCATAATTTTATGTCTTCTTTTTGTTTATCTTTTCGTAACTTTATAGCTTCCCGCGTAAACGTTTTTGTTTATGGTAACAGTTGTAAAAGTGTTTGCGGCCAGTTATATTTTTATTAATTTTATTGTGGAAACATTATGGTGCTATTAGTTGTATGTTATGCAACGTTGTTATTGAAATGAATCGGGATTCGGTACAAATGCGTCAGTTAACACTACTTGTTTTTGGGTAATTTATAGACGTTTTATTTGCGAATTGAAGGTGTTTGGTAATTCAATGTCGTCTTTGCGGTTTATAATGTAACTTCCAAGAATTTATGTACTATTAATTAATTTAGTACGCCATTTCATTTTGATTGTTTACAGATATTAATATAATAGGATTGCTCTTATTTTTGTTATGTTACATTATACTTAATTTAGTATTGATTTTATAAAAAAAAATATTCTTTTGTTTTTTATAAATAAAAAAAGTTACTTATTTCGCTATAGAAATGAGTAAAATCAAACTGAAATTATTTATAATCACTTTTGAAACGTCAAAATACAATTGATTGTCAGTCAAATTAGACTAGGACAGTGCTGTAGAAGTGTAAATTATGAAACATGAACATTATCCATTGATGCTAGTACTATAACGAGTTCGCTAAAACTATACTAATATTAATTAAATTATCTTGGTAAAGGTAGTAATAGCAAACCAAATTGGTTGTAAGATAGTCAAATCAGTTGTCAATCATCTATATTAGAGTGGACACTGCGTCTAAGCAAATATAGTGTAAGACGCCCTCTAGGTAAGTTTTGTCAGATATCCACCAAGTGGCAGTGGTTCGAAGCTAATAGCTGAATCCCAAGCTTAATGGCGTATAATTCAAGAGTTCTATGTCCACTAGTAGATCGAATTAGGTTGAGAAAATATTGTCCAACTAATGAGTTAGTAATCGACCAATTACTATAATATAACAAAAGTCAATCGAACTTAATAAAACAACGTATATGTTTTTGTTACAGCAATCGCGACGCCGCCATGGCGACCAAGGGCAAGCGTCCAATGCGAGCGCTAACTCCCAGCGACAAGATCGAGGCTATACAACGCGTAAACGATGGAGAATCGAAGGCTTCGGTAGCTCGCGATATCGGAGTGCCCGAGTCTACGCTGCGCGGTTGGTGCAAGAATGAAGACAAACTGCGATACATGACCTCTCGGCTATCTTCACCTGATACCGACAAAAGCAACGACGGTGAGCCACCTGATAAGCGCGCGCGAACAGAGTCCCCTGCTGCCCCACCGTCTCCTGCGGCTACTGGACTTGATCTATCCACGCCTGTCAGCTCTGTACCCATCGTGCAACAGCCAACCCCTTCTCTTGACGCTCCTGTTGAGCTCACCACCAAACGTGCTGTTCCATCTCCAACATCGCATATACCTCGCGAACGTCGACCAGACCCTGGAGCCAGCGTCTCCATGAGTGCCATCAGTCCACTGTCGGGTCTGCCCCATCTGCCGGGTCTCACACACTCTCACCTCGGACTGAGTTTCAACGAAATAGCCACGAATCTAACGTTACTCGCGCAACTAAACCCGGGATTATCAGCGTTGTCTGCTCAGCCTGCTAGTCGTGCACTGCGCTCTGTTCGATCTCCTAAGCCTGCACATAACGGAGTACTCAACATGAACGATGGTAAACACCATCATCGTACCAAGACTCATCATCATCATTCAGATCCGTATCGCACAAGCTTGTCAAAATCCAGTCATCATAGTACGTCGCATTCATCTATAGCTAACCAGCCAGTAGACGACACTCTCTGGTATTGGTTAAAAACACAACAAGCAATGATGGACCTCACCGCTCAAACCACAACAGCGCATTCATTGCAGCTTGGAAAACCGAGTGAGCCACCTATTCCGCCTAAGCCTATAGCCCCAGCGGCACCGATCAATTCTCACTTAGATTACAACAGAAACTCTTGGCTCTGGCAGTACTATAAACAGTTTGGTGGAGCCATGCCTTTACCTGAAGATAAGCACAAACCTGCCTCTCAGGTACCAAAGGATAAAGCAGCCGAAAATATCTTGTACTCCCATTTAACAAAAGGTAAAACTGAAGAAGATCGAGGAGTAATAACGTGTTCTGGACAAACACAGCCGCATAACGATGCAGAACCACGCCGCACTCCCAGCGTGGAGCCACGCGTAGCTGAACCGGCTGCTAGTCCAGAAATCGGTACAGAGAATAAAGAACCTGAAAGAGTCCACGAGTCAAGCCGGAGCCAGACTAAAGCGCGCACGGTCCTCGATAACTTGTTGTTCAACAACAGCAACCAGTCAGCGAGTGCCGAGACTCGCTCAGTATCACCAGCAAGTGGCGAGTGGGAGTCTGGTGCAGCTGAGGCTCTAGAGCACGGCGACAAGTTCCTGGCGTGGCTCGAGGCGAGCGGGGATCCTAGCGTGACACGCATGCACGTGCATCAGCTGCGCGCCCTGCTGCACAACCTGCGCGCGCGCCGCGCCCCAGCGCCCGCGCACCCAGCGCATCCCGCTGACCATGCCGCCCGCCGCAAGTAGACGCCCCGAGGACTTTCGCTCGCTACAGGGAATATTTCAATTATGTACATAGTTACGTTGTCGCCAGTAAGCGTTCACTTGTGATATGTGTAGCCAAATTTGCGTAATTTCTTTGTTCTAAAAGAAAAGCTATGCATTATTCTTTAGTTCGTAAGTCTTTAACTCGAAGTACGCGGACCGACAGAGGACCGGCGCAAACATGTCCTCTGTCGGACCGTTTGGCTCGGGACTATTTGTTTCTGAATCTATATGAAACTTGATGGATAGTTATCCTGTTGTAATTTAAATGTTATGTATCTGCGTTGTCACTTACCGTTGCACACAAAATACTTGACTTGTTAAATAAATATTTAGTCTAGATAGTACCGCTGTATGTTGCCATTTGACGATTACATTCCTAGTTGTACCCTTACTATAGTTTATAGTTGAATCCCTATGTTCTACCTCAAGTCAAACTAATACTAAGTCACGCACGGCGTCCTTTCAACCGTTCACTAAGTAGCGTGTAGCGAGAGTGGCGCGTGTGTGGCGTGGCCGAGCCGCGGCGCGTGGCGACACCTCCCGGCCGATACCAAATATTGAAAGGATGCGAATGTATTGTTGTGCCAATCGTAAGAACAAGGTAATATTGTTAAGATATAGATGACTCTATTGCGTTAGCTAGGCACTCGTTGTGTAATTGTTTTCTATTGCTCAGTATTTTATATAATTATGTATATGGTAGACGTCCGACCGTCGACGTGTCTACTCGGAATTGTATTATACGTTAAAGTTTAACAGTTAAGGACACTGTGATCAAAATTATAAATTATTGAGAGATTATTATTATTGTAAGTACATTCCTAATTATTAGAGTGTATTATCTTAATGTTATACATGTAAGAGATTGTCCAATGGTGTGAGTTGCGGTGACATCCACCGTGACGATTCTATTAGAGAAAAATGTTCAAAGATCGTGTCTCCTTCCCATAAAATAGATTTATTAATTTGCATTTCACGTTAATATTAGCTCACTGGAAAAATATTTGAGAGATGATATTTTGTACAAAATTGAAAATTGGATTATAAATTCTCTTATCACGACTTGTGATCTCGAAATGTTATATGATTAAACTCGATTGAACCTTTAACTAATACTGTTTTATTTCCTTTCACTATTACCTAAGCCATCAACAATAAGCACTGGATATCCGTTGAGAAACCCATGCATTATACTGACATGGGTAAGCCATAAGAATTGCCAATAAACCTAAAATTCTGAAGTAGTGAAGACCAAGACATACCAAGAAAATAAAGTAAGTATTACCAAGACTCATCACCTCAAATCCCAAACTATATAATGAATAGGTAAATGAGAGCTAACTAGTAATTTATTTAGAAATGTCTCATGCAAATGCAAGAATCCTGACAGTGTTGAACAGCGCATATGGTAGGTATATCTTATCATCCATAAGTTGTAAGAACGAAAGTTGTGAAAAGAGACTACACAAAATAGTTTTTAACTGACTTCAATTTCGAATAACGAAGAAGTGAAGAATGAATTAAAAATAATAATATCATGTAGGTAATATTACACGGTACTGGTCAGCCAGTTCCTTTTGCTTCAACTTGGCTTAGCACGCTGCCGCGTGTAGCTAGACTTAGTTTACGAATTTTACTATGAAAGCAATCACAAAAAAATGTTTGTTAGATATTAATAACAGCAAATTTTCTTCCGAATCAAACAGATGCAACAGAATCACAGATTTTTTCAGGAATATAAAATTAAAATCAGGTATTTCTTTGACATCGTCGTAACTCGTCGAAAATCGCAATAACAATAACCCTTCCTTCAAACAATTTTTATACATAAATTTTTCTAACGCCGCGCACTATTCCTTACAAGTAACGCCATCTATATAACCATTAAGAAAACTAAACGTTAAAAATTCATTGTGGTTCATTTCTTAACAGAAGCTGAATTTTGCAACATTTATAGAGGTAGAATGTAATCTTTATATTATCATCTAGAATTAAATAATTATGTACTTACGTGTAAAGTCGGCTTGGTTAAGGGCTCGTAGTCGAAGTAATCTGAAACTAACGACGCAACTCCCTCCCAAGTATGTGTTTCATCAAAATTCAGTTTCGTTGGTCGTATAGAAGTGCACACCATTTTCTAAAAAAGTAAACCAACATTTTTGTAGTGAATAGTGTAATTAATAAGTAATAAAATATTACGCTACGATGAAAAGGAACCGTGCAGCAAGTTATATCGAACATAACTAAGACATCAAAGTTAGTTACTCAAACATTTTGACGAATGGAAGCAAACGCAACCCGACGGGTAAAGTATGTGTTAACGGGTGTTTCTAGTTATTTAGAAATTCTTTATAATAACATAGGGTCTGGAATTGTGCCCGGTGTATGCTGGGCCGTCTTAGACTACGCTGAGGCCCTTGGGCACACAATTTTTTTTTATAAGGGTATAATCATCGAATGACTTCGCCCGCCTGGGTGAGGCGGGAGGGAGTGTCAGATTTTTACTGCATTTCGAGCCGGAGCCGCGGCAACCCGTTAAGTCCTCCGCGGCTCCGTATCGGCATCAGCCCTATTTGGCCGCATCTGTAGTGGTCTGATGGCTCTTTAAAGTGCGCGTACGCTCGGAGCCCTTGTGGAATGTTTCCTTTTGTTAACGTTGCTCCACACTAGGATTTTCTACAGTATCGTGGGTGAGTTTAGCATTCAAATCCTCATCCACATGTTACCAAGACACGAAACAACAATTTGTGGACCACACAAAGATCGAACCCGCTACACGTTGCGGGACAGCTGGTTGCCACGTAACGTTTAGCGGGTGTCTCCGTTGTAGAAATTGTCGGTCTTTCGGGGCCCAGAGGCCTTAGTACGAGTTTGATTTACGTTTAAAGTATTAGAAACGAGTACGCGTTCGCCGCTCAGAGTGTCAAGCACGAATTACTATCGCATTCGACTACGCACTAGCGCATTCGCCGCTCTGATTGGTTGATTCACTGGTGCCGGCCAATCAGAGCGCCGAACGCGCTCGATACTATAACGTTACGAATGCAATAGTAATTCGTGCTTAACACTCTGATTGGCCGTGTCCAATGAAGCAACCAATCACCGCGCCGAACGCGTATTCGTTACGATTATTTTAAAGCCTTAGTACCCTTATGGTAAAGACGGTACTAGGTGTATGGCAATACCCTTGGCTACTGTTACATAGGATGAATAACTTAACTGGTGAATATGTGTCTGCCTAAGTCTTCTGAAAACCCCGAAGACGAATAAAAACGAAAAACATAATTATCTATTAAGTCCAGTTAGACTTTAGAATATGTACAGTTAAGTAATACCTAAATAGGTTAAATATTTACCTGTAAACCACATTCATTCGGGACTTGCAACAAAATAGGTTTTCGTAGTTTATAATGAAAATTGTACTGGCGCCTAAAGTTCTCCGCATAAGCCAAAAGCAAACGTTCTTTAGGACTGTTCGTGTAGTAACTTGGCGGGAAACATGTTCGTGTTTCAAATACTGGTTCGCTGATCTCAGGCCAGCACATATTAACCACGCCCAATTCATATATTGCATTATTTAACCCCGGTATTGTTAACGGCTCCAAAACTTCCTTCAATCCAAATATTTTTGCGGGTATTTCGACAAAATCTTCTTGCTCAAATGGACGTTCAAAAATCTCACTGGGCACATTTTCATTAACCTCTTCTACTGTATCCAGTGGTTGTTTATCGGGACTCTCTTGTTCGGTTACCTTTTGTTCCGAAGGACGATGTTCTGGTGCTATTACTTTTACAGTTGGACCAGTACTCATTTTGAAAATTAACTACCTACCCACATAAAATATTCATCTAAATACTAGTTTTATTGAACTCGAAGAATATAAAAACTGTGTTTTATTTCAGGAACTCGACACTGTTGATGTTTATCAACAACAATTTTGACATAACATTTTCAGGATTTCAGTCTCATGGTTTCCATGCAACGTGTTTAAAATTATCGTTTAAAAACACCATGATGGAACTTGTACTGTACTGTTTACCGCATTAATGACATCTCATTACTTTAAAATATTATGTTTTAATATTTTTATTCATCGTATGTGTGACTAAATAAGTGAAATGTTTAGTTACCTAGCTGTGTAATGTTTTACTTTTGCTTCTGAAGTTCCGATTTCTGAACGAATTTATATCTGTCTAATGTCAATGTCAACGTCACGTAGTCGAAAATTTCAATTTCACACATTTGCATTGATTTTCATTCCTTTTCTCACTTCGGTTTTTTTGCATTAATAAAATAAAGACAAAACATCATTACAAATACAAAAATCTAATTTGCATCAGCAAAAATTAAAAACAATATTGGGATAGGCTATTAATTACTCGTAAGCATAAATAACTTAAATTTTCTTTTGTAAAAAAGTGAATAGTGAACTTTGCTCTTCGTATTTTTTGTTGTTGTGGTATAAAGGCATTTTCCAATAAGTCCTTTATCCGTAGTGAGCAGTACAGATAACATTACTACGGAGTGTGGACTTTGATTGTGTAAATAGAATTAAACATTTACGAATCGCCTACAAGGTACAAGGTGTCTCGGTGATATTATAACGTTAATAAATTCAACATGGGCAACAAATCATCTCTATTGTTGCGTGAGGAAGAAATCGCTCAAATTCAAGAGGAAACTGGGTGTAAGTTACAATCATTAGCTTTTTCTAACTCAATCAAATTAAGAGCAGATTAAACTAATGATTAACACCACTATTTTATGTAAACAACGACAAATATTATTATTCTTTTTGGTTTGTTCTATTTGCTCTTTGATTTTGCACATAAAAAGCAATTCACTGTTTTTTTTTAATCACATCTTTATTTCTAAACTCCACAGTCACACCAAACCAAATTGAAAGGCTGTATTCTCGATTCACATCACTAGACAAGAATGACTGCGGCACACTATCCCGGGAGGATTTCCTAAGGATACCGGAGTTAGCTATCAACCCACTAAGCGAGCGTATTGTCCACTCTTTCTTTGCGGAGAGCCATGATGACAGAGTGAACTTCTTACAGTTCATGAGAGTGCTCGCACACTTCAGGCCCATCAGGAAAAACAGAGAGAACAAGCTAAATAGTAGAGATGAGAAATTGAGATGTAAGTAAGAGAGTAATATTTGTTTTACAGCAAGATATTACATTAACTTTTGGATATAGATTAGTAAGACACAGGGTGTATTTCTTGAGTCTCATTTAACAGAAATCTAGTTTAGAGATCATTGTTTTGGGTCTAAGTGTGATGTATAATATGTGTATATAAACACACCACTATATTAACTGAAAATCGCGGGTTACTCACGTGAATATACTGAGAAAAGCTCTACTAGTTTCGAACCACAGAGGAGTTCTTCCTCATGAGCAGCATGCGCGCCGCGGCCATGTCGCCCAGCTCCACTATATGGTTGAAAATCTTAGTGTGGAAAAGTTTTTTCTTATATTATAATAGATTCATATTCAGATCCAGATTGGTTGAAAAATTAGTCTAGTGTTTTGTTAATGTAAAGAAATGTATAGAAGCTGTAATAGCTATCAAGTATTACAATTTCTCTTTATGTTTCCAGTTGCATTTTCAATGTATGACTTGGACAACGATGGTAAAATCTCAAGAGATGAATTGTTGGCCATACTACACATGATGGTTGGAGCTAATATCAGGTAATAATACAAATACATACACAGAATATGTCAATAAAGCTCTGGAACTCATTCATTTATGAGCTACTAACTGTTCACTAACAGCTGACTCCCTCGCTGGCCGAGTGGTCGCAACTGCTAAGCAAGGGGTCTTACTGGGTTTTTTAAAATAAAATTCTCCGTAATAGCATGGAGTCTGGAACTGTGTCTGGGAATAGGCTCACATAAATAGTAAAAAGTGGATGTTACATTGTGGTAATGTGCACCTCTGCCTGCTTCTTCGGGGATAAAAGGCGTGATGTTATGTTATGTTATGAGCTACTAACTTTCCGCCTGCGGTTTCACCACTGTTAAATTTACGAAATTCCTCTTAATTAAGTCAAGACATTTAAAGGACCAAGATCCTGTAACAATAAGTAATAGTAGTAATAATATATATACTCCCTGAAAACAAAAACTTCCAGTGTCGAAAAAAATTTTTTTTTAAATACCTCTTTGATAAGATGTCGTAATTTATAGCACAAAGTGTATTAATTTTATTTTATGGTTTTATACTTATAATCGGATAATAATGTCTTAAGATTAAGATAACGAATACAAAAATTGAATATTTGTAAGCACTTAAAAATCTGTTGATAAAAATATCCATATTACTGTAAACATGCTTACAATGCAATGTCAACTCTATGCAGTTATGAATAAGTTTGTAAATGATAAATAGGTGCTTAAGAAGGAGTACAAATAGTACACGTGTGACCTTAGCGATTAGGCCGTGACCTGATAAGACGCGCACAGTTATGGAGAACCGAGTTTCATAATTATAATTTAATAGAAACAAAAAACTACAGACTACGCCAACACTATTGTAATTTTGTTACTGAATTAATTCCTTTCTCAAGTCTCTAGATCTGATAAATTATATTAACTGATTGTTTGACGTAAAATTAAGTCTCTTTTTAAACGACTATAATAAAGAAATTCAGGTGGCGTATTATGACGTCTTAACGCCAGTGGTTCCGCTGAGGCAACGAGATCTCGCTAGACGGGGCCCAACAGGGCCGATGCCGATTCGGAGTCGCGGAGAACCTAACGGGTAACCGGGGCTCCGGCTCGACGTGCAGGAGAAGCAACGGGGTGGTTTTTAGTCAGTAAGAGTCTGACACTCCCTACCGCCTCACCCAGGCGGAAGCAGTCATTCGATGATTTTCGCCCCTTAAAAAAAAGACGTCTTGTATAGCTCTGTTTCTTTCCCTCAATGGAACCATTCTGACTTTAAGACGTCATAATAACCCCGCTGGTCGTATTTGTTAGAGTAATACAGCAATGAATTTCCTATATTAAAACTTACATGCTACATTATACAAAGCCTACAACTCTTTTAGAACAACGACAATGTAACTCGGCCTCGTCTCGACTCGCGCGAGAGTGTTAATGTAGCATTATGAATTTATGAGACATATTAAATTTATATTTTCGGCTTAGGTACTCATATAACTGTTTGATGAGGAACTCAAAAAGTTTCAAGCCATGCTAGAGGCTCATATTCATGAGCAGCATTCCGCGACTCGCGACGCAGCGACTGCTACAACAGCAGCACGACCGATAATACTTAATGAATTTTCTTACACCATAAAGTAGTTTTCGACTCTTAGAACACGAATCGTTAATATATACGTTACTACTAATAGATAATAAACAAGTTACCTTTGTCTTCATTTGTATGTAATGAAAAGAATCATCATATAAATGTAACAATATTCTCAAATTCCAGTGAAGAACAATTGACCAGCATTGCGGAACGCACAATCTTGGAAGCGGACACCAACAATGACCAGATGATATGCTTTGAGGAGTTCTGTCATGCTTTGGAACGGACAGATGTGGAACAGAAGATGTCCATCCGTTTCCTCAACTGACCTCCACACTCCTGAACCGACAACATTAAGTACATATTAATGTTTATACTAGCCATACTCATATATGGGCTGTTTAACAAGAAATAATTAAATGTTATTATGTATGTACATGAGTTACTTGAGTGTTTTGGAGATTTAGTTCTTAATTTGGGTTAGATTAGGTCTATTTTAGTTTATCGTTTTAGGCAAAACTGTGTGATAAAATGTATTTATTGATCTACATCACATAATAGATGTAACAAAAATTATGATAAAATAGAGAAATGAAGACAAAAAAGAAAAACGGAGGATTTTAATTACAAAAGATCATATTGAATTGTTGATATGTAGCAAGCTATGTTATTTAATGCAATTATATTTTTACTTTTATGTGATTGATTTAGTATTGGCATTGACTTGTGATAAATAGCGGCGATGAATTTAATAAATAGTTCTATATCGTAAGAGTTAAAGAAACTAGCTGTAACATAGGCTACCATAAAAAAAATACATATTTTGGTCGTTATTTTTTAATCTAACCAAGGCATATATAGCATTTGAAAAATTCTATAGCTAGCTCTATTATTTATCTATGTGTACAGACTTGTTTTATCTTAAAAAAGCAAAAGTTGGACACTTAATATAAACTTAGAGGTCGATATATTTATTTGACTTGTAATCGGCACATCTAGCATTAATCTAGATCCATAGATGTATAGTTAACCAAGGTATTTGGTATACTGGTAAAAAATAAAAATAAATTAGTATACTGACAATTTATAACAATAACTACTGTCTTTATACTGAATCTTTATTTCCTTACCGACTTAGTGAGTTTGTTTTACGTTCAACGAGATTGAAACGAAACCACATTCGACACTCTTGATTAGTTGGTTCATTGAAACTGGCAAATCAGAATGCCAAGTACGAATAAACACGAATAAGTATCAAGCGCGTTCAGCTGTCTGATTGGCCGGCTCCAGTGAACCAACCAATCAGCGCCGAACGCGCTCGATACGATTACGTTACGAATGCGTACTTCGTACATGTACTTTTAAACAGAGTCGTACTAAGCCCCCTGTATACCAAATAATTTTGCTGACTGTACTTTGTTTTCTATTAACGCATTTATTCTAATTGAATAGACTTGATAACCGCACCGCATTATATCTAACTACTCTATAGAGAAAGCACATAGTCTAGCAGTAGACTCATGCGCTGTTGATGATTACCGCACACATAGACCTTTAACAATAACAGCATTTAACTTGTTGAAACTTGTTATTCAATAGATAGAAAAATATATAGAGAAATAACAATTATTTAGTCTCAGTAATGTGTAGTACATAGCTGTTGATGCTAGTGATTATCTACACAAAAAATAACATGTTTTGTTTTTTTTTTCTTATTGTTTTTGTTCCGTTCCAAAGCCTTTTGTTTCAATAAATTATGTTAATTATTTTGCTTATTCTGGCTAACTAAGCTGTATGTATAATATGATAATTTATTTTACTTTTAATATGAAGTAACTTGATTTGAATGTTTATGTATTTATTTCATGTTCAAGTTGATGTTTAGAAGTTAGGAATAAATATTTTTTGTACAACAAACACATGTTTTATTATTCTGAAATATCCTTGCAAGACAGTTTGTGCAGTAGACTTTAAGTATTGCATCATTTTTCTCATAAAAAATAACATTGACTGCCTCATTGGCCGAGTGGTAGTGCAACTGCCGGTCAAGGGGTCTGGGGTTCGATTCCCGGGTCAGGCAAAGTATTACTAGGTTTAAAAAAAAATCTCAGTAGTAGCACGGAGTCTGGAAATGTGCCCGGTATATGGCAATAGGCTCACCCCCTATTACATGGGACTCATAACATAAATAGTGAAAAGTGGGTGTTACATAGTACAATGATATTAAGTGCCGTAATGTGCACCTCTGCCTACCCCTTCGGGGATAAAAGGCGTGATGTTATGTTAAAAAATAACATTGCGGACATAAAGTATAAAAAATATATGACACAAAATAAACAAAGACGAATTTCATAAACATTATAATTTCATATAATTTACATTGTATAGTAGAAAATTATTTTTAACTTAATTGGAAAACAATTTGGATAACCACGCAATATATTATAATTTTCAGAACTGATACTATTAGACATACACATGCAGACTATAAAAAATAAGATTATATACTAAATCATAAGATAAAAGACTGTAACCCCAGATGATAAGGTCCAAAGTACTCTGGCTCTGAATGTAATACTGCGATGGTGGATATTCAGCAATTATATCATCGACCGTATCCCCAGTATATCGAGTATGCAACCGGACTATAAATGGGTCAAATACCCTAACTACTAATGGGATAATAAGTACATACATAATATAAATTTATGATAGATACATAACACTATAAAAGTCAGATAAATACATGCGCGATTTTCCCGCCTTGTAAGTAAAGAAATACTTTTCATGTAAACTGTTATTGCACTGTACACAAAGTCTATTTTCGCTTGATTATTCCATCCCTTCACTTGGGGGACCAATCGCGCACAACGTAAAACATGCATAAAGGACTTTGAACCCAATAGCAATCAGTTCTGAAGCAAGTGAGACTCCATATTGTTTTTAAGCTGTGGACGATACAGCCAATTTCTTCAGATGTTCCATAAACACTTGCAGCGAAACGTCGTCTGTCAGTACGGGGGCGCCACCGTCCTGCGAATGTGTAAAAAGTTTGTTTGAATAATTTGGACTTATAAGAAAGACCACCACCGGAATAAAGGTAGAAACTTCTATAAGTGTTGCAATGGTTAATAATATTGTAACACTTGTAATATTCATATCTGTTAATACCATCCAAAATATTGGTCATCTTTTTGTAAGTTTGAACGAAGATTTCAAAAAGACCCAGTAAGATACTCAAATTGTACTTATTTGTTGTTAGTATTAAAAATGTCTGTGTTGAATTTAAAATAACCTGTAACACCGTAGCTGAAAAAAAACTATTAATTATTGGGTGTTACTATACTGACAGACGTATGATAATGCCATTTCAAATAATATTATAATCATCAAATAATTATATAGCATTTTGTTTAAATTTTGCCCCATTTTAGGAATATCCCAGACCCAGAACAACAATCTGTGGATCACACAAAGAGTTCTTCCATGCGGGAATCGAACCCGCGACACTTTCCGCGGGAACCCGTTGCCCAGCTACCGCGCCAAGCGTGCAGTCTTATGATTTAAATCAGTAATTCTATTTTTATTACATCGCCCATCGCTCAGTAGTTCAGTACAGTAACACCTTTGACCTTACATTATTTAAATTTAATTAAATATAAATAAAATAACCCCACTTTCGCTTCCTGAGATTCTTAATCTATGGTTAGTATAGAGAAGCTATTATTTTTCATCAAAACGTACACAAAACATGCAAAAGAAATCGTTCTAAAAAAAGTAAAAAAAAATTGGAACGCTGTAAATTCAAATAAGGAATATCATTGACCGGCTCGACGCGTGGTCCAAACGTTAGCCGGCGTCAAACGCATACAAAAAAAAGGTTCATTACAAAACTGATCTATATGTGTATAAAGTATTTTTTTTATTTATTTTAGTTCCACGTAATCAAATCTAAAATCTGCAAGAGAAGCGATAAGAAGACGATCACTAGTCTATTTTAAAATAAAACTTTATTTTCATAAATATGGAAAATGAACGATTAATTTGAACTGAAAAAGAAAACTATAGAATAGAACAAAAGTAGCTATTAACTGAAGTTAATCCTCAAAATAGTTTTAATTTAAAATACTCAGTGATCGTCTGGGAGAACTAGAAAAAACTGCTTAGTAGCTAAAGCAGATCTGTTAGACAAATTAAAACGCAGAATTAGAAAGCCAACACCAATAAAAAAAAGATAAAAAGTCACTACCGCTGATGGAATCGGCATCGCCTGGATATCGCCATAACAATGATGGAACAAAAAAAAACAAAATCAAATTCACACCATGCTCTATGGTGGCACACCATGCAAATTTTGAATGACTAGAAAAAAAAACAAGGCTGAACGCCATGCATTTACAATACAATACAGTACAACAACAATTAAGATTTTTAGGACTAGTATAGATTATTGTGATTTGGAACATCTAGTTTTGCTAAAGCTTTGTCACTCACCCCGCCATACGCGTACATGTTGTTATGGGTCTGTGAAGGGTTGACCTTCGACAAGAGGAACCGGGCCTGAAACAAACAATAATTGCATTATTACCATTTCTTTCAAAACACTTAAAAATATGTAAATTAAGGCAACTTTACCGAATTTTTACAAGGTAATTTTAAAGTTTTAATTTTGAATCTATTGTAAAATGTAAAACGATTTAGATTAAAACCTCCTTTCACACTATAACATCGCAGATTTTTATCAAAGAACGTGTAACAAGGGACAATTTGCAAAAAAAAGTATTATAGCAACTGTAGTGTTGCCACCTGCAAAACAATTCACAACTGAGATATCAGTGAGCGCACCAGTTGCCTATTCTTTTCCGCGAGCCACACGTAGTTGGCAAAAACAATGGAAACGATCGAGTATTCAGCGCGATAACGAAATGTGGTGCCGAACTATACTGACTGCAGTAGCAATAACATGTACGTTCACAAGTGAAATAATCGTACACAACCAGGGCCCACGGACGGTAGTCCAGATAAAAGGTTCCAATAATAAATCTCTTAAACTTTACGTACATACATAACTACGTGTAAAATTACTCCCAATATGTCGATACTTGTGAACTTTTCCGTGTAACGTGTTGAAGGTCTCTTATCACTTTTCGGCCTCTCGTGTGTTGACGTTAGTTAATTTGTGATAGTTTTCAGATGTGGTGTGTATGTTATTGTTGAGTGGACTGCAAAAGGAGGACCTGGACGCCAGCACACTGGGGAAGCTGCGCCGATATAATGTAAACATCGATGATATGTACAATGAGTGAGTGTTACCTTTATCAACCACATCGTTAATGTACAATATTCACTTATTTTTTCGACTGAATTCTTCTAAAAACTCTAATTTAAAACTTTGTATCATAGAATAGTTAATTTTTTATGAAATTTCATCTTTAGACACCACCAAGAATGTATATCAAACCCTTATACAACAAAAGGAATTAATAGCAACATCCAAGTAACAAGTGAAGTACCTGTAACTACATTACCAACGGAAGCATTCAGAATACCTGTTACTGAAAAACGTAAGTTTATTATAATATATGAAAATATACATAAACAACGTTTTAATGTTGGTAAATAATATAAATTCTTTTTAAGGCGCTGAACAAAATTCAAATTCACTCGGAATAAATCCGAAATTAAATGTGCGGTTCGCACAAAACTTTGAAGATACAACAGACCATAAAGATGAATCGAAAATTAACAAAACCAATGTGACATACGATACAGTACAGACATCAAATCAGATACCTCCCGTGATACATCGTGAGTTGGGAAATGTATCGAACGTTGAAGAGAACAAAGATTTGGAAATTAAGTTTGTAAAGAATCAACCAGACGTGGAGAGCGTGTTGGATTTCTGGAGCAAATTGACGCATCACGCGAAGACCGTAGCCACAAAAATGCCGACCCTGCCACCGACGCCCACAGCACCCAACACGAACACAGAGAAGAATTTCACTTCGTCATTACACATAGAAACAAACAATGCAAACTTACACGCAAAAGAAATTGAATTGATCAGTAAACTTCTAGCGGAATACATAGAGACCGAAAGCGGTTTCACAATCGAAAAGAAAGTAACTAAAAGTGAATACGCGGAATATACACCAAAGAGTAACGTTGCAAATCCCAACAAAAAACCAGTCAAAGACCCCAATATTGCACGTGATTCTAAAAATATTATACCATCATTAAAAGAACAAATTAATGAATTAAGCAATTTATACAACTTTACAAAAGATGATTTGCGCTCAACTATGTTATTCGAGTCTATTTTGAACGCAGCTGAAGGCTATCCGTTGAAAATAACGTATAATAGTTCGCACCATTACAAGAAGACACAGGAAACGCCAAACAGTCAAATTCCGACACTCGAAACAACGACAAAAAAGCAGTCCAACGAAAGTAATTCATCGAAACTTCTAAACAGTCTTCTTCAAGTCCAGGAGGAATTCGAGAATTTTGCATCAACCATCTCTTACGCCAAAACTACCATAAGAAAAACTGAGAAGATAAAAAATAAACATCACGACGGTCCAGTAATTAATGATCGCTACAAACACAATAACGTACTTCCCTATTTAAATGAGGTAAAAAATAGCTCACAACTCTTAGAGAAAAAGAGAAATGTTGAGAATAATCCAGGAACAATAGAAATGAAACAATGGAACCCAGTACGAGTATATCCTACGAAAAAATCTAATCATGTTTTGGCAACAGGAGATTATGCAAAAAGGTTTGCTGCAAATAATCGTTCTCGAGCTTCACAAATGATGAAAGATAAATTAACACAAATTAAATCTATAAGGAGGTTTTCCAAATCGGATGACGAACGAGAAGTTAGTTATAGAACTGAACAACCGCATTATTTAAATTTAGTTAACAATCAAGCACAATCTGCAGAAACAGAGAAACATAAGGGAAAACATAAAAGGCACCATTATCGCGATGTGCAACCTAAAACATTTAAGACCATGCTACCATCAATGAAACACAAGAAACAAAACAAGCATTCAACACATACACACAGCGCAATAAAACAACACGTTGAAATTACATCCGACGAGAATGATTGTTCGAAGTCAGGTGATGATTTGGTTATCGAGAGGAGACAATTAGGAAATGCGTATAAAAAAGAACAAGCAAATTATCGTTACATGAATAATGAACTGACCATGAACAATGAAATGAAAAAAAGAGGTCCTAGTAATCGGCAACATGTAATAGAAAACACGAACGTTCCACGAAATCGTCAATATAGGATTGACTCACCGATCATTAAGAAATGGCAACATAACTCTGATTCCATGCTCCAAGTGAAAAGGCGTGACACGCCAGATGTAACCAATCATGAACAGCAACCAGCAGTGGGTTTCCAACCAGCAAAGCGTTTGGAACCAGTAATAGGTTTGCAATCAGTAGTAGCTTTGCAACCAGCAAATGGTTTGCAACCATTGATAGAATCGCAACCTGCAGTAGCTTCGCAACCAGCAATTGGTTCCCAACGAGCAGTAGATTTACAACCAGCAACAGGTTCGCAACCAGCGGCAGGTTCACATCCAATCGTAAGAGTAAGAGCGATTGGAGAAGCTCAACCTTTATCACCTAAAATAATTAAAGAGATTGCAGAAAAAGTCAAAGAAATCGTGCTAAAGGATATAGAGGAAGGTGTTACTATCAGAACTGTTGGGACCACTACCACTGTTGGGACCACCACGACTGAAGTGACTGTTCCGAGAACTCCTACTACAACAACCACTACACCTTTCCCGCTAGTCACGTCTGGTAAGTCTCTCTCAATTACAATACCAATTTAATTTAAACAAACAACAATAATAACTTAAATTACATATATTGCAGAAAAATCATCAACGATGCAGAAAAACACTGATGCGAACCCAGTCATGCAGCAGCTAATGGAAATATTCAAAGAGTTAAAAGGTATACAGGAACCTACCACCACGGCCACCACTCAGGCGCCGCGGCCCACCACTGTGAGTACTGCGACGACGGTCCTACAGAAAGTTACAAAACCTGTCACAAAAAATTACCCCATACAAAAATATCCGCAAATATTTAACCCGTACATGGTAAAACGTCCACCCAACCTTAACGAGCAAATAGTAAACAACGCGCCAGGCGTGCCATACATAGCACATTTATACAACCGGCCCATCACTATACAAACCAATGACGACCAGATAGCCCCTCTCGCGATACAAATATCCAAACCTTTAAAGGCCATGAACCAGCATGTTGTGATCACTACACAAGATCCCAACGATAAAATAAAACAAGAACTACAACGAGAGAGTAAGAAACGTATCGAGGACAACTTTCGGATGCCTCATTCGGATCTTACAAAAGTGCAATTTGCAGACAATATCAATAGACACGATGACAGAATTGCTTACAAGAGTAGATTTAGTAAGGATAGAGATAAGCCGTGGTATTACCATGAATACAGTGATGACGTTCGCCACGACGACACGCATCCAGTAGACTCGAGATTCAAGGGCAGTTTGAGTCACTTGCAGGATTTGAATCGTGCGTCAAGTATGAGTTACTCTGAGAATCTACCGTACACCGGGAGAATACATCAACATGAGTATAACCAACAGAGTGATAAGGGTAATTTGGATGTAATGAAGCACAACTCGAGAGGCCATGGTTATTCTAACTATGAGAGACACGAACCAGTAAAGTTTCATGAAAACCTAGAAAGGGCTGAGGATTGGCCACGAAACAATTGGAAAGAAATAAAATCAGCGTCGGTAGAAAACAGTTGCGAAGAAATACCTGCTAGGCATCAGGTGCCTATTATAAAGGAGAAGGAACGGACGAGGTACGACGACACGCACTTCACGAACTTTCTAAAGTCGCAACAAAAGGTGACCGACATGTTGGAGAAGATGTTGGCGAATAATATGAAGAATTCCGCCGAACAACTGCTAAGTGTTGAGGAACCGTAGTGTAGTCACATAGTTTACAATATAAGTTTATCTTAAAATATTATTACACTATTATTAATGGTTCATAAGCGATTTTATTAAAAATATTAAAAATTACATAATTGTGTTCTTTCTAACACTTATAACTTCAATCAATCAAGTCAAGATAGCTAGACGTATCTGGATTAAAATTAGCACCGAAGTATAATACATACACCATTTTTTTATCACAGTAACTCGAGCAATATCATTGGTAGAAGCTTGTATAAACATAACATGTGCAAAATGACAGATATAAAAATACTTTTTGCTTTTATGCAAATGCCCTCATCCAATTAGAATCGCAGGGTTCCTCCCTGGCATTGGATCCTATCGACCTATGTTCCGCCATTTTTTTATGGCCTAAGCCGGTTATTCAGCTCTCGGATCACCTGATGGTAAGTAATCGGCGCCGCCCATGAACACCCAAAACCGTTACAAGTGCGTTACCAGCCTTTTGAGGATTAGGAATTTGAGGATTGTTGTGGATTCGGGGATTGGGGAGGGGGGGTAATTGGGCCTACAGTATTGTTTCACGTTGGTTTCCTGTATGGCCGTGGTATCAAAATACAGTAGATGTCAACGCTAATAAATAATGACGATGATGACAAGACTATGCCCTTACACATAGGAATTAACACTCTATTTATTCTAAGATAAAGTATAGTATCACGCTGTACCTGCGAGCCTCCGTGTTCAGTGTCGATATACCGCGGTACTGGGAACCTGCTCTGCAGTATCTCCTGCGCGTCGTCGACGGGCGCCCGCAACAGTTGCGCAAAGCTCTCGTACTCAGCCATGTCTTGGTAGCGCAGTTCACGCCATTGCGCTATCGTCTAGAGAGGAATATATAACATTAATCTGTTGCATGATCTCGCATAAAAGATATAGCGATAATTAGGGCAGTAATTGCATTTGCAATATTACGTATAGAACTTTAATTATTGTTTTGTAAAAGAGACTGCACGGTTGGTGCGGTGGTTGGGCGAATTGGCTGCAGAGCAAATGGCGTGTCGCGGTTTCGATTCCCGCATGGAGAAACTCTTTGTGTGATCCACTGATTGCTGTTCCGGGTCTGGGTGTCTATGTTTGTAAACGCACCCACGACACAGGAGAAAATCCTAGTGTGAGGCTACAAAACATAAAAAGCCTGCACTATTAATAATAAAATTCTTTTTGTTTAAATATATTTAGATTGACAGTAGCTAAAATGGTTTTCATAACATTTAAATAACGCCAGCTACTATGCCAATTTCCATTATTTTAACGAGTTTTTCTTTGGGGGTACGATTGACTTCTTTAATCAAAACTGATTTTATAAAACAATTCTCTAGAGTTTTAATGAATATCTTACCTCTCCATGATAAATAAGTATTTGGAAGAAGGTATCCATGAGCAGGATGCGGTCGGGCTGGATGGAAGACGTGTCGAGTAGGACGGGCTCCGGTGGACCTCCGAAACTGTACGAGTATAGAATCGGCTGGATCATGATGAGGGACTGTGTTAAATCCTCACGCATCAACATGTGCCTGTGGAATTGAAATTAGTTTTATTAGGATACTTTTTACTTGCAATTGTTTTGTAATTTTGATAAATAACAGATGTTAGCTTTTACCCGTGGCTCTACCCCTGTAAAAGCCTATGACCTTGTCCATACTCTAAACTAAATGAATGCCAAATTTGAAGATGGTTAGTTCAGTACACAAACTGACAAGAGCTAACAATTCACAAACAAACGAACGAACTCACTTTAACGTAATTTGGAATTCGTGGCACTGTATACCTACTTACCTCATACCTAGTTCTTACTTATATTATAAATCGGAAAGTGAGTTTGTTTGTTCCACTTTCGCGCCGTAACTACTAAACCGAATGCTTTGAATTTTTGCAGACGTGAAGTTAGAAGTCTGGATTAAATAATAGGGTACATTGTATCCCGGAAAAATGTGATATTCTCGAGGGAAAACGAAATTATTGGTATAGATGGCGCTGTGTGTATTGGTATATGTCACATAGGCAACTTTTTATTCTGTGACGCGAGCGAAGCTGCGGGTAAAAGCTAGTTATAAATAAATTAAATAATAGTTATTACGTCACCTATAGAAAGTGGTTTCATCAGGCGAGTTGTTGAAGACTTGCAGGAACTGTGAGCGTCGCAGGTGGTACATGAACTGCGGGTACAGGCTGAAGTTCTCGGATAGACGGAAACTATTCGGGTCGTCCTTGCCGTATTCACCGAACTTCTGACACTGTGAACATATTTTACATAAGAAGTTCAGATAACTTCCTCGTTGACTGACTGCCTCGTTGGCCGAGTGGTCGCAAGTGCGACTGCCGGGCAAAGGGTCTCGGGTTCTTTTCCCGGGTCGGGCAAAGTATTACTGGGTTTTAAAAAATTCTCAGTAGTAGCACGGAGTCTGGAATTGTGCCCGGTATATGGCAATAGGCTCACCCCCTATTACATGGGACTCATAACATAAATAGTGAAAAGTGGGTGTTACATTGTCCAGTGGCATAATGTGCACCTCTGTTTACACCTTCGGGGATAAAAGGCGTGATGTTTATGTTAAGTTCAGGTAATTCAAGTTCTAATCTTACCAATCTGATAAGCATCCGATCGAGCCAGCGCAGTACATCGGGTCCGTCCTCTAGTTCCGCGCGGTAGACCACGAGGCGAGCCATCACTACGGCGGCCGCTTCCTGGTCGAAGCCAGCAGATATATGGTGAAGGCTCACTGCTGCGTCTCCCCAACTAGATAAACAGAATTAATTATTAATAAAATATATCGAATTTTTTTTTTATTGCACGTCAGAGCTAGACTAAAACTGTTGGTCTGAAATGTAGTAATGTTTCAGTCACAAGGTGTACATTTTCGCTGCAACGAGAAAACTAAGTACTCAATATTATTGTGTCATAATTAGTTATTTTTATTTTTTTTAAAACGTTGACCCACACTATGATTTTGTCCTGTGTCGTAGGACGTTTACAAAGACCGGGAACAACAATTTCTGGATCACACAAAAAATTGTTTGGTGCGGGAATCGATCCCAGGACACATTGCGCGGCAGCCAGTTGCCTAACCACCGCGCCAACCGTGCAGTCAATCGTAAATTATAGGCAGCAATAACTGTGTAATATACTAGATTTTAGCCTGAAGTATTCAAGAACCACTCGATCCACTGCCGAGAACCACATAAAAATCTGAACAGCTATTTTTAAGTTTAACACGAAAGACAAAGGGGATGATGACAGGGTATGAAAATTAAAAATATAATTAGTCCGTAAGTTAGGTAATGAAAAAATATTAGACACGTATTTTTTTATTTTGTCGTATAATAAAACAATACTTAGATAAAACGAATCAAATTTTAGGAGTGGGGGCTAAAACGTCATTTCTTAGTATAAAATGTACTGAGAAGTGACGTCACGCGACATTTCAAATCAATATATCTTCGAAACTATTTGTTTCTGTGAGAAAATAAAAAATACGTGTCTAATGTTTTTAAATAATCTACCAGACGGACATTAAAATAAAAATTAGTCGTCTACCCTAATACGGCGGTTCGTCATTGTTTTTATTTTGATATCTGAAGATAGAAGTTTAGAACGGCATGTCATAATTATGCTACTTTTTGTTCTTGAACAAACAGTTATTTAGCAGTATAGTAAATAATAATATACAGTCAAAACCGTTTATAACGACATCGAAGGGACCGATAAATTATGATCGTTATAATCAATAGTCGCTATAACCAATATCTTTATGCTTTATAAGACAATAGAGTGGACCTCAAAATTTCGTCGTTGTACCCTATTCGTCGTTATAAACGATGTCGTTGTAAGCGGTTTTGACTGTAGTTGTGTTCTCACTTGCGTGCGATAGTGGTGACTCTGACGCGGCGCTGTCCGCTGGAGTGTTGGTACTGCGTGATGAACTGGACACAGCCGCGCCCGCCCTGCGGCACTGCGGCGTGCTGGTTCACTACCTGCTCACACACATAGCCAGCTTTATTCATATGGTGATATAAGTATTAAAATATGTAATGTAAAAAGATAAATCAAAAGGCTGCCTCGCTGGCCGAGTGGTCGCAAGTGTGACCGACGGCAAGGTAAATCTCAGTAGTAGCACGGAATCTGGAATTTTGGCCGGTATATGGCAATAGACTCACCTCCTATTACATGGGACTCATAACATAAAATAGTGAAAAGTGGGTGTTACATTGTACAGTGGCTTTAAGTGCCGTAATGTGCACCTCTGCCTACCCCTTCGGGGATAAAAGGCGTGATGTTATGTAAAATGCTACAGGCAGATACTGATATACAGACACCACTTATGCATGACTAAACAGTGTGGTATCTTCTTTTAAATAAGTACTTAAAAAAATATGTGTGAAAAAAAATGTGTGTGACACATTTTATGCCATTTAGTCATCATAGTGCTATATAGGGAATTCTCGTACCTAACCAATTTCTATCTCACATCTTCAAATTGGACCCAGGATGTCATTCCCTCCGCTGAAGATAGAGCTTATTGGAGAGGCTTATGTCCAGTAGAAGTTGGAACAGTGCTTTTTAGTCAGTAAAATAGGACTAATTTGGATGATTTTCCACCCTTACAAAATAAGGATCTGCCACAAGGACTGGATACTTCAACGTGGAGCAAGGGAGAGACCCTTTGTCATCTGTCGGTTGTGGATGATGATGACAAGGACTGTAATGTTGATACTGAACGTCTTACAAAATATATTATATTAGAAAATTTACCTCAAAGAATATCGCCATGGTAGTACTGGGTGTGAAGGTGCACATCTTCCACTGGCAGGTGTTGCCCATGCCGACCTCCTGGTCCGACACGCACGGACCCTTCACGTTCAGCGACACGCATGAACCGATCGCACCCGATACTGTATAATAATAGTAATAATGTAGGAGTATAGTATCCTATTATTATTATATGACTATTATTTTACGATATTTATTA